AATAAAGGAAATTGAAAAAAGAAGAACAAAAAAACAAATAAGGAAAGAATCGTCTGAGATTATTTGTTGTGCGTATACATAGATATATGCATATGTATATAAACGTATGTGAGATGCTATGTAATAAAGAAAAGGATAATACTTGTGCGTATATAAAGGTATGTGAGATGCTCTGTAATAAAGAAAAGGATTGGACACATTTCATCCAATCTGGTGATGTGGATGAATCTGGATTAGACACGTGTCAAAAATAAAATTTAAATTATGTTGGGTATGATCCAATTTATTTAGATTTGACCCGCTACTCTAACAATTTTGAAGGACCAAAATAACCATATCTGCTCCCTCTTCATTTAATCATTCTCTCTCTACCTCTTTTTCGTCCACGCCTCAACCTGAACCAATTATCGTCGACCATCCACATAGCCATGACCCTCGACGCCATCTACCTCCACGACTCGATCGCCAGAGTCTTTTCCATCCTCCAACATCGCGAATGAGCTCAAACTCTTCCTCCACCACCACCAGCTTCCTCTGGGCAAGGATTCAAGAACTGGGATCACTGAAATTGTGGCCTCTGTGGGTCATTCTTGTGAGAAATCTATGGATTTACTGTCCCAGGGCATGAATTACAAGGTCAATGAACCATGCCCAAACGACTGGGGCCTTGCCCAGAAGCTAATTTTGCGAGCCATTGCCGAGAAGAAGGTGTTTTGCAAAGTCAATTCCTAAGGTGGATCTTTATACTTTTCCCATTTCACTGTGGAAAAATGCGAGTGATAAGATTTTTAGTTTGACTGGTCTTGGTTGCAAGAATATAAACTGTTTAAATGGCAAGAAATTGATTAGAAATTGTGTTAATTCCTTCAATTTGGTTAATGGGTTTGAGAATCAAAGGCATGTTAAGGCTAGAAGCAAAATGATTTCCTGATTGATGATGCATGAGTTGTTGGGTCTGTGACTCAAAATTTATACGCAGAAAATTAATTTTCTTTTTTGATTTTGGAAGGTTGAAATTTGTAGAGAAAATTATATCTCATTATGTTTCTATTTTAGAGTTTTGATCATTATGGTAACTCTTTGTAGACAAGTTGGGGAATACTTGTCCAACAAAAAACTGGGTTTGAAAATTCTATAAATAAAGATGGATGTGAGAGATTTAAAGGTGAGTGTTATAATTTCTGAGTGTATACATGTTGCCTCAAAAGAGATGATAAATGAGTGAGTGGGGTTTTGACATGTGATTGTATATTCTCTTCCTTGATTCTTAATAGTGAAATCTCTCTCTCCCATTGATGTAACCCTTGAGTTGGGTGAACCATGTAAAATATTGTGTTGTGCGTGAATATGTGTAATTGTTATCTCCATATATGTTTGTATTGATGTGATGTGATGATATTTCCGCTGTGTGTGATGAAGGAGGGATTTAACTCTCAACTACAGCCGACCATTGAATGGGTTGGAATGAGTTAATTATCCCCAACAACTGGTATCAGAGCCAATGGTTGGTCAGAGCCTGTGATTGGTCCTGAAGATCAGTGTAGAAAATTGGCGTAAAGCTTGTAAGAGCAGAAGATGATCGTGAGGTGCTATGGAGATTCAATCAGAGTTGATGATAACTCAAAGGTATGAAGAAGGTGATAGTGTGAAGCCCATGAGGAACAAGTCTTGGAACAAGTTAGAGGATGCTTGTTTTCAAGATGGGCAAAGGTGATAGAGATGAAGCTCGTGAGGAATAAGTTTTGGGGATAAGTCACAGAAGGTGATAGTTCTCAAAATAGGGCAAGGGTGTGAAGAATGATGGGGTTTGCTCTAATCCAGATAAAGAGCAAAGGGGAATATGAATAATGAAAAGGAGATGTTTGTTGCTTTGATCCAGAAAAACAATTGATGAAGATGATACATAACTAATCGGTATTGAATTTTTTCAATAAGAAAAAAAAAAAAAAATCCTTCTCAATTTCAATTATAACAATAATTATGGGTATATGTAAACCCCATAATAGAAATTGTTACACAGATATTTAATGAGTATCCTTTTTTATATACGCCGCCTATAGGAACTTCTGAGGAAATTCTTGCGATTCAATGAAAAAGGGAATAGATTGAATAGAAAACATTTGGACAATTTGAATATATTAAAATGTCATTGCACTTTTCAGTACGGCTGTACAATATTTATCTAGTCCTAATGGGAGGATATCCTTACCTCTTTACTTGGGCATTATTTACCAAATTAAATTCCGATGGTTGGTTTGCATGACCTCTGACGCAATAGTGTTGTCAGTAGGTTTACTGACGATGTGAAATGTCAATTATATCCTACAACATATATACATTCATGTCTTTTTTAGTTTTTCAAAGAAAAATTATTTTCCAAATTTTTCAAGACATGACATCAAAGATTTTATGAGAAATATATTATTTTTTAAACTAGAGACCAAATCCTTATTATTTTAGGAATTTGTAGTCCAAGGTAGTCGGTCAGGTCAACGTTAGATAAAATATGAGGTATGACACTAAACAAATGTGACGAGTAAACAAAAGAGTGAAATAAAGGAGAGGAGAATAATCCAACTTAAGGAATGTGAATGAGGGTAGGGAAAAATCGAACTAGGACCTTAATGGAGAGACCAATTTATAAAATAAATAAAAATAAAAATAAAAATAAAAATAAAAACTTCCCAATTCTGCCTTCAATGCTTCCCTCCGTCCACGTTTTAAAGCCTTTAGTATCAAATTTGTTATCCAATGGTTAAAGACTTAAAAAAAAAAAAGGGTAGTTGGATAAAAGTTCATACCTATTCATAGGACATGATGACTTATTGTGACAATTGGGCGCTTGTCTATTTATTCAAAAATTCAAACTGTTGAGTAGTGTTACATACCCAATCATTTATACCCAATCACTTTTCCATCCAGATCCAATGTGGGACAATGACCCTTGTTACACTTATCCACAACCATTGCAGACTTTTATAATGCAAGGTCATCATAATTTCTTTCACTTGTGTGTCAAGATTACCACAAGCAAGTTTGGTTCTCATTAAATAAAGTTCATCTTAATTAACAGTGATTGTAAGGGTCACCATTTTTGTCTTGTATTTTTCTTACACTCTTCCCTAATTGGGTCCACCTTCTATGACTTTAAACTGATCTCTCATCCTCCAGTCCAAGATCCCTTAAGCACCTCATAGATATTCGACAGAGTTTGATCGATGTTAGATAAATGTTTTGGTGTAGGAGTCCGATCGAGGCTCTGGGTCTATCAATAGACAAAGTGGCCTTGATATGATCGAGGCTCCGAGTCGCTCGATGTCCAAGTATGGAAATCGAATCAAGGCTCGAGGTCCTTCGATCGATTAAGCAATTTTGGTACAATCAAGGCTCTTGGTCGCTCGACGTCCAAGTGTGGGAATCGAGTCGAGCCTCTGGGCCCTTTAATCGACTAAGCGGCCTTGGTATGATTGAGGCTCTAGGTCGCTCGATGTCCAGGTGTGGGAGTCGGATTGGGTCTTTAGATCTTTCGATCAACTTAGTGGGTGTAACGACCCGAACCCAGGGGTTCGAATCGCTATCCGGGTCCTTACCTGAACCTGCCGGATAGTGATTCGGACCCCTAGGTTCGGGTCATTACAGTTAGGTTTTAGATCCTTCGACCGACTTAATAGTCTTGATACGATCGAGACTCTAGGTCGCTCAATGTCCAGGTGTGGAGTCGGATCAAGGTTCTAGGTCCTTCCATCAGATGTCCTTTGATGTGATCAAGGTACTTGGTCCTCAGATCGACTAAGTGAATATTTTTAGGGTTAAGTGAGAAAAACATTTTTAATGTTTAAAATTTGGTCAAATAACCCCCCTAACATTTATTTTTGGTATATAAGTTAGTTCAGTTTTAAAAAAAGGACAAGTAAGGGATTAATTCGTATAATAGATCAAAAAATCATATTTAAGTAGTTACATGCGTTGCACATACCTATATTAAGTCAAAAAAATTACCTAAACTACCATTTTGGTATTCCCAAAAAGCCCTTACACCATTTTACATATAAATATCATTTTCCTCTCTTTTGGTTAGGGTATTTTGGACATTTTACATTTATTTTGTTTTTCACCACTTTTTTTCTTTTCTAAATACATAAGGCCACTTTAGTCTTTTAATCGCTCGACTAACAATCAGCCCGTATTCACACAAGGGATTATATGCAATGGAGTAATGATAGGCAACACCAAAACTCCCCGAATCTGATTTTGTTAAGCCACGTCAAAGTTAAAAAAGATTTACAGGAACAAGTAATTTCCCTGCTCTGTAATTTTATTTATTTATTTTTTTGTTTGCTCACTCTTGCTCTCACTAATTTTTTTTTGGAGAATTTTTAGTTTCTTGTTTATGAGAAAGAGGAAGTACCATGTTTTGACATGGCCAAACACTTATTTGGGGCTTTGCTAACAGGACCAAATTTACATCAAATTGCATTCCATACTCTCAAACACAAAACTAGTTACAAACTAACATGGACCAAATTTCTACTTGACGGCTCCAACTTGCAATTACTGTCAGGTTTAACGTAAAAAGATTGTGGGAGGATATTTGGAAAATCGCATTTCAGATTATGCCGAGAAGAACATTTGATCAGCGAGAAGTGTTTAATTTGGCCTGCTCTTTTTCTACTCATTGGGTGTCATGAGGAAATGCTAAAGTTTATAACTAATGACACAAGTAATTATTTAATTAAAGTGACAGACATACTGACATCCAGAGATAAAACAGTGCGGGTTTTAGGATATTATAATTATTATTTCATCAATATTTCAAGAATAAAGAGTATGACACCCGAAACATAATAAAACACCGAGATATACCGTTCACATATTCATATATATGACATCCACAATTTCGCAATCACAGAGAGATTCAACCATATAATAAACCGACACCAGAAATATAATACAACCACCATGATATTCCCATGACATATTCATACATATGACATCCACAATTTCGCAATCAGAGAGATATATTCAACTATATAATAAACCGACACCAGAAATATAATAAACCGCCATGATATTCCCACGACATATTCATCCATATGACATCCACAATTTCCCAATCAGAGAAATATTCAACTATATAATAAACAACCGATATATACCCATGTTCAAGATTATTATAACCACAATATTTAACCACCGAGCTGCACAAGACTCAAATGGGCTCATTAGAAAATTCTAAAGTAGAGTCAGTATCAGAAGACGAATATGCAACACCAAAATTTCGAGCAACACCAAAATTTCGAGCACCACCAAAACTCATCCTGCAGCAAACAAGAGGACAAGCATCCAATTACAATCAAATGGTCACAAATTCAGTTTTGAAATAAAACTTGACAAAATTATGATCAGCCGTGGTTAAAATTATGATCAGTTATGCAAAATATAAAAAGTTCAAAAACCAACTAAGAAGGAAATCAAGAAATAAAGAATATAGAAGGTGCTGGGAAGACAAAATTATGATCAGCCGTGGTTAAAATTATGATCAGTCATGCAAAATATAAAAAGTTCAAAAACCAACTAAGAAGGAAATCAAGAAATAAAGAATATAGAAGGTGCTGGGAAGGAAATATCAACAGCCTTCAACCCAAGATCAGCCAAACAAGATTAAAACATAAAATTGGTTGACCCCTTATAGATTAGGGGTATTATAGAAAAATAAGTCACTAGAAGACAACAAAACGTTTAAGGATACATAGCAAGGTATTGGGGCTTTTATGAAATGTATGGACCATCTTAAAGTCAAACTGATCGTATCCAGCCCTGTATTCATAGTCAAGCCCGCTACAGCCCGCCATATTCTACAAATTGATCTTCTTAACTATGCCCTTAACCAAATCTCAATGAATCTAAAGCTCGAAGGTGGTGAGGAAGAAGCCTCCCCGCCAAGATCAATAGAACAGAAAGAGCAGCCTACTACATGCAACTGTTTAAGGAATTCTGCCCTGAATGACAAGATGTCAGTCCATTTCTGCCAAGGTTGTGAATCCTTTGCTAGAGAGGATGGCAGCAGATCCCAACACTAATTCGACAATCTCCAAGTAACAATTTCTTTCTTGAGAGATTGCAGCCAAGAAGGGATTTCTTCCATTAGGGGTGATAACCAATAATAGACACAAAAACTTCTGATTAGCTCACATAACAGGTAAGGCTGTCCTACACCTGGCCTGCTCTGCTAGTTTTATTTCTTTCATTAAGAAACTAGGGGGGAGCTATATTTGAATATGCCCAAAGAAAGGAATTTGAAGCAAGGTTTTTATCCATAGAAGTTATTAGGAGGACTTAATACTCACACAATTATGGATCTGAGTTCCACTTTTAGGATCACGCTCACAGGTTTCGGTTGACTAAGTTTAGGTCTGTGGAACACAGTACACCCACAGTAAGGAACCCTAATGAGAACCTTCCAACAAGCACAGAACATCAGTTTTGACCATACAAAGCCATCGTATATAGTGATGTCTTGAGTCCCTTTTTCTTTTTAGCCGTGAAAGAAGGCCGGTCTTGAAGAATGAAATCAAGCATCTCTAAGTACTAGGATGTGAAGTCAAAAAGAAGGGGCATCATATGAAAGCGGCTAGATGGAGATCGAGAAAGAACACTCAATAAGGGATAGCTGTTGCATACTTTATGCGAGCTGAATGGCACTGTAGAAGGATCAGTAACAGGCCTCTGATCACCGTGGTTGGACGGTGGTATAAATAATTGAAGGAGAAACACATAAGAAAAATTTAATTTTAAAAGGCAATGACTCCAACAAAGAAAGAACAGAATAAATAAGGTTCCAAGGCATCTGTGAGATGATGTTGCGAAGCTTTGTAATAATCGAACTACAAATGAAAAGTGAAAACTAGAAGTCGATAAAATGAAATTTGAAGAATAATAAAAATCTATAGTTTTATACCACGAGTGCACAAGGTAATGGAAAACAAAACAAAAAAATCATAACCAATTTTTTTTTTTTTTTTTTGGGTTTCCTTCCAAGTACTTTTTTTTTTCATGTTTAATGAATAAAGCATATCCATTTAGTAACACCCAAGAAAGGGATAAATTCTTGTCTAAAAGAGCTCTAAACCACCAAGTACTTGGAAGTAAACAAAACCTCTAATGTAGTCAAATGAAATGCCACAATAAAAGCAATCCTCTAAAATCTCCATTTGCTAATATAAACATAATATATACTAGCCACAAACAATTTGTGTGTAAGGCCAAATTTTCATTAAGGTAGCGGCTGCAGAGTCAATTAAAAACATCATAAATGACATACAAACATAGAGAGAGAAAGAGAGAGATGCCGCTGTAAAGTCTTCACAAAGGTTTGTTGAAGGCCTGTTATTTATTGTTCATAAGAAATACCAATGTGAATTTCTTGATTATAACAAAATATATTTTTTCCCATAATATCCTGCACAACTAAGTTTTGATAAATTTTATACTCAAATCACCAAACAGACACATACAATTGGTTACCAAAAGATGCACCAAGGCACATGCTTAAAACAATTAATAAGCATCTCTTAAATGACCATGTATAACCAACGCATTTTACGAAGTTAGCATTCCAATGTATAACCCAAGCAATGTAATCAGACTCTCTTCATCTCTCTTCAAAGGCACGGGGGGAACAACATATTTTACGTAACCGAAAACATAGGACGAGAGCAAAAACTTCTCAAAATTTATTATAAACCCTAAAAATACATTAACATCTTTTCAGAATTTAAATTTCTCTAATGTTCGACTCCTCGAGTGCAAACAATTCCTTGAGAGAGAGAAGGGGAGCCAGGGGGATGGGTTTGGGTATCAACTAGGGAAAAAAAATTCTCTAATTAATTCTGAATTTTATCATTTTTTGGAGGCTGCCCTTATTTTTAGCCAATTAAGCCTGTCTATAAGCATTCTATAACCCTAAAACAAAATTAACAAATTCTCATAATTTATTCTATTATAATAATATGTAAACGTTCACAGTCCTTCTCTGAAACCAGAAAGAAAACTCCCTAAATTTGAAATATACAGCAACTACTAAAAAAATTAACAAAACTAATAAACACTGAAAAACCTCCACATTCCAACAATCCTCAAGATTAGCACTCATAGTTCTTATACTACTAAGACCAAGAGGCAAAAGACAGGTTTTGTTAGAGGCTGTGGGAAGATAGGATTTAACAAATGTCCTAAAAACAAAAAGGGAATTTTTCAGAAAGTTTTCATTTTTATGTTTGCATATGAATCCAATTTGCTTTTCAAGCATTAAGATCGGGGCTAGAACAGTCATAACAGAAAGGGGGAGGCCCGAGATCATAAACTCAGAATAATAAAAAACAGAAACATTGTAGGAAATTAAGAATTATACCTTGTTCATCTGGAAGGTCAAGAAACAACCACTCCATCTGCAGTCACAACTTTTTTTCCAGCAAACTCTTTGATAGAGAGTTTCTTCTGCACAAACCTTAAACTCATCATAGTGTGATCCTGAAAGACAAGTTTCTCAATACGCTTTTGGTCACAAGAGTGGTTCCTCAATGCAGCATACGAACAGTAGTCCGCAGCTTTATTCCTCTCTCTAAAAACGAATGATATCACGAAATTAGTGAAACCACAGTCTTCACCATACACCGCACCATACAATTTTCTGATAATAAAAAAAAAATTCAATATATTAAAAACAAATTAAAAAAAAATAAATGGACTGAAGAATAAAACAAAATGTACTCACGCGTAGGTCTCGGGAAATTTCTTTCGTGCTTTAGAATACTGTTCGTTGGGCGGCTCCCTTAGACCATTAACCATATTCAGACAGTCTGAATAGACAACTAAGTTGCTCCACCTCATCCACTTCGCAAAACTAACAGCTTCTGTGAGAGCATTTAACTCGGCTTCTTCAGCATGAGTCACACGACCTATTCGTTCAGATATATGATATAGATACTTTCCTGAAACATCTACAAACACCACCCCTATGCTAGCTTCATGGCTTTTTGGATCAAAAGAACCATCCACATATGCACAAACAAATGAACTATCCCTCAATTCTCTCTTACAATACCTAACCGACTCCACTAATTCCACACCAGTCTCAACAACACACATCGAATTCTCCATCAACCTCCTTTTAAAATATAACATATCGAAACCACTGGACAACCAATTTTCATATTCAGCAAGAGACATGTAGACGACTCTAGGAGAACCCTCAAGCTTAGACACAAATTCACCCGCTGAAATCAATGTGCCCGAACGTACGAGAAATGAATGGTTATCATTCAAGTCAAAATCATTGTCTACGAGCTGTAACATTAATTTATTAGCACAAAAACAATATAAAAAAGGCCTGAAAATTATAAAATAAAAAAGATTTATACCCGAGGAGGAGGGAGAGTTGAATATGCTCTTAGCCCATTGAAATGAGAGCTCACAGAATATCCTCCACTTACCTAAATATTTAAAATCAGATCGATATCAAACGGTATAATATCACATATGTTCTACTTCTACATTAAGATGGACATAGTAATGTCACAAAAAACGTTTGACATGAAAAGATACAAGAAGTAAACATGACAAGCAAAATATAAAATACTAAAAGACTTTTGCAAATTAACCTTGAATTTCCATTCCTTGTTCTCGCATTCAGTTCCAGCAATGGAGCAACTGAAAATTTTCAATCGACGCCCCAGGGGTTGAGATCCTGCGAAAACGAATTCACATAAAACCCAGGATCGAATGTCAACAAATTAAGTTAAAATACTAGATATATACAAAAATCAGAGTTACAAGTGACCTTCCTTCATCAGAAGCTCAAATAATAAAGGACACAATATAATCTATTAAAATAAAGAATTCATAGATGTTTTCCAGTACGAGATCTTTGGCGGGTTCAAAGCCCTCCAGAAAATTTATTGGAAATTTTTTTTTGCAAAAAACTAATAGCATTTCAACTCTCTCCCCCTGTACTGAAACACATTGCAAATTAGTCTAGTTTAGTATAGAGTCCATGAGTTGTGGTAGATTATTAGCATATACTTCAACTGCTTTATGATCATATTATTCTTTGCTTGCAGGTAACGGATAGATTTAGGGTTGTGGTTAGGGTTGGGACCACTGGATTTACGGCCTACGGTAAGTTCTCTCTCTTTTTCTTTTTTCCTTCAAAGTTAAAGATCCATTGCTGTGTGTGGTATACCCAAAGTACAACTTAGTGAACTTGCTGTGTGTGATATACATAAAGTAAAACTTAGTGAACTTGCTGTGTGTGATATACATAAAGTAAAACTTAGTGAACTTCTTGTGTGTGACATACACAAAGTAAAACTTAGTGAACTTACTCTGTCGGTGGACAGTGGCTGTCTATAGATTACATGTCAAACGTGCGTATAGATTTACACCAATTTATTACTTGAAAAATGGGTAAATTTTAATTTTACATTATAGATGGTGATATTTGTGTTTGATTATGATTTAAGGGTTCAATTCGAACAGAATAATGGAATATACATCCGATCATATGAAATTTCTTTATCTTTTACACAGATCTAATGATTCTGATCTCATAAAAAATAAAAATAAAAAATTGATAAGTAGATTCTGATCTCATAAAATTACTTTAACAGAACACATCATTTATAGATTTCCTTTATTTTTACAGTAGTTCATTCATCATTTAAGCTCACAGAACGTATGCTTGATCATTCACTTTGATTATATGTTAGTGTATCAGTAAATTGAAACTTAAATGGGGTGGGGCAGTGAAACTTAAATGGGACGGTGAGGGGGGTTTTGCTAAACAGTTTTTGGTGGGGAGCCTTAAACGGGAGGGGAAGGTACTCCTGCCCCCTTTGCCATCCCTACGTACGTTGTAATTAATCAAGAAGAAGAAAGGTGGTAGTAAGAGCACTCTCTCTAATAGTTTCACTTGGTAATAACCAACTAAGTATCCATCAAATATCGAAATTTCAGTGAGGTCACTTAGCTTTCCATGGTAAATATAGCTAGGGGTGCATATTTGGTGGGCCCAATTCGGACAAACTCAAGCCTAGTTCCAAGGAGCATCCCATCAATTAACAATATAGTATGAAAAGAAACCAAAAAAACCTTGGCAGAACCTGCTTAAATAAGAAAAACAGGTCTACAAAAAAAACTGAAAAACTGGGTCTGAAATCAATACATTGAAGTTCAATATATTAGATTAAAATACAAGAAAATTGATTATAATGAAGAAATCAAAGAATATTCGACATAATAACATAAAATGAAACTGAGAAAACTTGACAAAACCTGATTACATAAAAAAAAATGGGTCAACATTAACAACAGAGTCTCTAATTAAATCAAACAGTAGAACTGGGTTTGTAATAACTCTAATTAAGAAATCAAAGAATCTACAACACAAAAATAAAAAAAACCCAAACCCTAAAAGAAATTAAAGAATTTACTGAAAAAACATTAGCAAAACCAGCTTACATAAAAAAAATATGTGTATTACATAAAAAAAGATGGGTCTACATTAAAAACAGAGTCTCTAATTAAATCAAATACTAGAACTGGGTTTTTAATTACCATAATTAAGAAATCAAAAAATATACAATACAAAAATAAAAACCAAACCATAATAGAAATCCAAGAATATACAGAAAAAAACATTGGCAAAACCTGCTTACAAAAAAAACAGGGACTCCATGAAAATCAGAGTCAAACCAGATATCAAATGAATATACACAGAATGCCATAGGAATTGTGGACAGGAGGATATATTATAAACAAATCACAAGAAACATCAAAATTTTCAAAGAATAAGATGCAGAAATTACCCAAGTCACCACCCCATTCAAAATATTCAGTAGCTTGATGCTTTCCAGTATCATACCTAGTATGATATCTCTGACTGGATCGAAGGCCCCTACAAAGAAATTGGAAAAATGCTCGCATCATTTGAACTCTCTCTCTCTCTCTCTCTCTCTCTATGCCCTAAACCTTTACTGCTATCCCTAAAATATACTAGTAAGATTGCCCTACGAACTAAATCTGGGAATGAAAAATATATAAAAACAAGGAATGTAATTTTAACTGGGTCTATTAAAACTTAAATTTGGTCCTCCAACCCAAAAATCAATCTGGGCCTAATAAAACTTACTGGGGCCAAAAACACTGCTGGCCCAACTTTACCTGGACTCCCATAAAGTCCTCCAACCCAAAAAAAAATGTACATCTAAAATTTTAGAGGGGCCACACACATTTTACCACAATTCAGTTCTATGACCTTATTAGATTATACATTTTCGCCTAAGATAAATTCAATATCTCAATGATTATAAAGTATAAAGTAAAGCATCCAAGGCCAATTATAAGTTGGTCTAAAAAAATAAATAGACAATAACAATATATGGAAATACATGACAAAGCAGTCTTTAGATTTTACCTGTTCAATATAATAATTGGTGTGTGCCCATTACAACCGTCTTTGAATAGGTGATCAGCCAACAAAAACAAAGGTACAAGCACCAGCAATTGCATCTCCAATACCAAACCCGGTTCTATGCAAAATCTGAGAGGAAGGAAAAGAAGGTGTTGGATACCACCAGATGAAACCATAAAAACAAGTGGGAAATAGAAAGCTGAAAAAATAATTAAGTGTTTAAGAGAAACCTTTTCTGATTTCAACCTAGTAGATATTGTATTATTCTCTTCATTTCTTTCGAACACAAGATCGAGATTTCTAGTCTGCCTTCCATAACTCAACCCACCCTGATATGGTATCTTTGCATACGGAAAGAGGTGACCCATGAGCCTAATAAATGGAATTGAAACAAAAAGAGAGAATATAATTTTAAATTCATTTAGATTTTTTTTTAGCCTTGATCAAATCCATAATCTGCACAACTTAAACATGTTAGAAGCATACAGAACGCAATCTTCCCAAAAAGGATAGTTCATGTGTAAAGTATAACATACAGACAAATGCCAGCAATAGCACACATTCCACCGAAAGTTCATCAGTATATATGACCATATCAATCTTTAAGATCCATAATCTCAAAAGACAACAAGTCATGTCCATACCAACGTAACAATGGTCTTGAACTGAACCAAGCATGCAAAAAGGGTGGTTTTGAACAACGTTACACTAAGGTGATCTCACTTGGTTAACATAATCAGCCAAAAGAGAATAGAATCACAAACAAGAAAATATGCCAATAAAAGAAAAGAAAACCATGAAAAGAAGAAGAAAAAGGAAAGAAAGATGAGATATTTTTAAGGAAAGAATTAGACTCTGATTGAAGAAGAAAATTTAACCTTTTTTTTTTTTTTAGGAAATCAAAGGAATTTTAAGAGCATAAGTGAAAAGAAAGAAAAATTTAGGACATAAATTTTAGAAATTAAAAACTTTAGGGGGGCATTAAATAGAAATTTTTTTATAAATGCAAAAGTAAATTAAAACATAACCATATTTATATGCTAGGCGGGCCAGGCCAAGGGCACACACTGGCTCCACCCCTGAATACCGTAGTTTTTACGGTATTAAGTTTATACTTTTCAATTTTAAACACAAATTAGTCCTAAATTTTTTTTTAGAAGATCAAGAAGTCGTATGTTTCAAAAATTATTTACAAATAAGTCTATACTTTATAAATAATGATTTTTTTCCAAAACTACCCTTTATTTATAATTATTTATAAAAAATCTATACGGAAGAAGCTCACCGGGACCTGACCGGATATGGGTTTTCACTAGGTCACTGAGAAAAAACTGGTTGGGTCGGTAAGTTTGCACCGGCAACACAGTGAAACTCGTCTGAGCAGTTGGGAGTAATTGAAGCTCGCCCAAACAGCCTGGTCACCGCAACTGAGGTGCTACGAACTGAAGCTACGCCTGAAGTTTGCGCCGGCAACTCACTGAAACTCGCCGGAGTGGATTGACCCTCGCCGGAGTTATAGAACTCTAGTCGCCGGACTTAAACTTGTCTATGAAGTTTGGTCGACGTTGTTTGTTGTAGCTCGCGTCGGTCATCGCTGAAACACGCCGGAAAACATGGAGTTTTTGGGTCGGTAAGTTAGCACCGGCAACACACTGAATCTCGCCTGAGCAGTTGGGAGTAATTGAAGCTCGCCGAAACAGCCTGGTCACCATAACTGAGGTGCTACGAATTGAAACACGCTGGAAAACATGGAGTTTTTGGGTCGGTAAGTTAGCACCGGCAGCACACTGAATCTCGCCTGAGCAGTTGGGAGTAATTGAAGCTCGCCGAAACAGCCTGGTCACCGTAACTGAGGTGCTACGAACTGAAGCTACGCCTGAAGTTTGCCCCGGCAACTCACTGAAACTCGCCGGAGTGGATTGAGCCTCGCCGGAGTTATAGAACTCTAGTCGCCGGACTCAAACTTGTCTCTGAAGTTTGGTCGACGTTGTTTGTTGTAGCTCGCGTCGGTCATCGCCGAAACACGCCGGAAAAAATGGAGTTTTTGGGTCGGTAAGTTTGCACCGGCAACACACTGTAACTCGCCTGACCAGTTGGGAGTAATTGAAGCTCGCCGAAACACCCCGGTCACCGTAACTAACTGAGGTGCAACGAACCGAAGCTACGCCTGAAGTTTGCACCGGCAACTCACTGAAACTCGCCGAAGTTATAGAACTCTAGTCGCCGGACTTAAACTTGTCTCTGGAGTTTGGTCGACGTTGTTTGTTGTAGCTCGCGTCGGTCATCGCTGAAACACGCCAGAAAACATGGAGTTTTTGGGTCGGTAAGTTTGCACCGGCAACACACTGAAACTCGCCTGAGCAGTTGGGAGTAATTGAAGCTCGCCGAAAGAGCCTGGTCACCGTAACTGAGGTGCTACGAACTGAAGCTACGCCTGAAGTTTGCACCGGCAACTCATTGAAACTCGCCAGAGTGGATTGAGCCTCGCCGGATTTATAGAACTCTAGTCGCCGGACTTAAACTTGTCTCGGAAGTTTGGTCGACGTTGTTTGTTGTAGCTCGCGTCGGTCATCGCTGAAACACGCCGGCAAACATGGAGTTTGAACGTTGTAGCTGCTTCAAGTTGTGCTTCTGGTTGCTGCAGTTGGGTCGAGCAGATTGAAGCTTCGCCGGACCTTGTTTTATCTCCGAAGCTCACCGGAGCTTGTCGCCAGATTGACTCACCGAAACTGAAGTTTGCCCAACGGTTAATGGAGGTTCGCCGGAACTGTTCACGGCGATTGGTTGATCTGTGCTCTGAACTGAAGGTCGCCGTGGTTCATGGTGTTTAAACTTCCTGGTCGACGTCTGAAACCGCCGGAAAACATAGAGTTTGAACGTTGACGCTAAGTTGTGCATCTGGTTGCTGCAGTTGGGTCAAGAAGATTGAAGCTTCGCTGGACCTTTTTTTAATCTCTGAAGCTCACCGGAACTTCTCGTATCGCCGGATTGACTCACCGAAACTGAAGTTTGCCTAAACAGGAGCACTTCGGAACTTCTGGATCTGTTAAAGGGTTCGCCGAAATCAAATTTCAATCCATTTGATTTATTAGTAATGTACTGAACTGAAGCTCGCCGGAGTTCATGGTGTTTAAACTTCTGGTCTGTTAATGGGTTCGAGCTTCGCCGGAACTGTTCACGGCGATTGGTTGATCTGTGCTCTGACTGAAGGTCGCCGGTGTATAAACTTCTGGGTCGACGTCCTGAGACACGCCGGAAAACATGGAGTTCGAACGTTGAAGCTCAAGTTGTGCTTCTGGTTGCTGCAGTTGGTTCGAGAAGATTTAAGCTTCGCAGGACCTTTTTTATCTCTGAAGCTCACCGGAATTTCTCGTCTCGCCGGATTGACTCACCGAAACTGAAGTTTGCCTAAACAGGAGCATGCCGGAACTTCTGGATCTGTTACTGGGTTCGCCGGAACTGTTCACGGAGATTGGTTTATCTCTGTAGTTCATGGTGTTTAAACGTCTGGGTCTCGCCGGTCTTCACATTGGAGTTCTTCACCGTTCAGTTTGGTGGTTGTTTGGTCAGAGCTTCACGCCGGTTCTGCTAGCTTCAGTTTGTTCGGCGCGTTGGTAGTGTTCGATTTGCTTCCTGGTCTGGTAGAATGGTCTGGTAGAGAGAGTAAGAGAGCTCGCCGGAGATCTCTGTAATGAACTGAAGCTCGCCGGAGTTCATGGTGTTTAAACTTCTGGGTCTCGCCGATCTGCACGTTGATGGAGTTATTCACCATTCAGTTTGGTTGTTGTTTGCTCAGAGAGCTTCACTCCGGTTCTGCTAGCCTCAGTTGGGTCTCGTTTTCTCAAAGCTTAAGCTGATCTGGTAAGAGAGAGTAAGAGAGACGATGGATCATTAAATTCAGCAAAATGAGAATATGAAAAGGGTTAAAGAGATGCACTCTTTTGTTGGAATATTTTTTTTGTAAAATTAGGACTGCTTTGTCCAATGAAACTCTATTTAGGAGTTTATTTGTCCGACTAAAATTCTTCAAAGATTGAATTCATGACTATTACATAAGGAGGACAAACCAAACCTATAGACCTACTGTTAGGCCATAGACCTACTGTTAGGCCATAGACCTACTGTTAGGTTATGTGAGTCAGGTACACAGTTTCCTAAATCTACACTAGATATTGTTGGCAGAAAATAATTATGTTTCACCGCCCAAAAAGTATCCACTATGGAATAATTACAACAACATCCAGCTGTAACCCACCAAAAAAGTTTCCGTCTTTTCACATCAATAATGTGACACTATTACATTATCAATTAATCGCTACCAATCGAAATTTTTTTGTTTAAAAAATTATTTTAATTTATCTTACCAAAAAAATAAATCAAAGGAATTTTTCTTCTAAGAAATAGTGGGCTGTTCAATCGTTAAAAAAAAAAAATCCTCAGGAAATTTTTCTGCGTCTTTTCAATTGGAAAAAAAAAAAAAAAAACCTAATTTTCCGTCTAATAAGAAAAATAAAGGGTTTTTCAATTGCTAGTAAGGATCTAAGGTGAAAGCCGTCAAATCCATACACATGAAACTATGCAACCAATATCATACAAATCATGGGCTCTTCAATCTCGGAAAAAAAAAACCTAATTTTCCTTCTGATAAGAAAAATAAAGGGTTTTTCAATTGCCAGTAAGGATCTAAGGTGAAAGCCGTCAAATCCATACACATGAAACTATGCAACCAATATCATACAAATCAAATATGAGAAATCAGATCTTGAAAAAGATCAATTTTAGGACAAGAAAGAGAATTAGAGAAATAATAAGAAATTGGATTTTCAAAAGCATGCATAAAATTGAGAAGAATACCTTCGTTCGGGGAGAGAAACATGAAAAGAAAGAGACAAGAGAGTGAAAGAGCGTAGATCGCCGATCTGCACGTTCAAACTGGTTCGGGGGTAGAGAGAGAAAGAAAGTACATCAGACGAGAGAGATAGAGAAAAGTCAGAAGTACGTCAACATAGAAAAAGTGTATTGTCAGGTGTGTCTTGCTAAGGGTGCATAACGGGCCGGCCGGTCCGGACCAAACGTATTCTAAAAATTCTAAGCCCGGCCCTTGGCCTACAAGATTAGAACAGGCTATATTTTTTATATAAATTATTTTAAAATACTGCCAATAGGTTTTTGTTATTTCCCAACAAATTTATATTTTTCAAATAAAAATAAACAAGCTTTATATATTCATTTCTTCAAACGTTTTTTTTTAACCAGTTTAATAGGTATGGATCCAAGAAATTGAGTGAGAGGGAACAGTTGATTTTTTTTTTTTTTGGTAGTTTCAGAAGAGACAATATGAAAATTTTATACGTCTATATCTCAAAAACGAAAAAATCACTAAATAAAATACTGTAAAGTAAAAAATAAAAAAATCAGAGGGAACAATTGCCCCCACACTATAACAAATGGAGTTATTTTCGACGTCACAAGGGGTCGTAAAAACCAAAAATTAGTGTCTAAAAAGGGTATTAACGACTCTAAATAGGGGTCACATGTTGTGTCGGTAATGGCAAGATCGCAAAAGTCATATTAATTTTTGACTCCTTTTGAGGATCAGAAACAACCTTAGTGCTGTCGTTAAATTGGCATCACTAATGGTGGTGCGGTCACAAAAGGCATATTAATTTCCGACCCCTTTTTTCGGGGTCGAAAATAACTCTATTGCTATTGCTGAATTAGCGTCGCTAATATGCTGGTATTTGCAACACAATAAGATGTTGAAAATAGCCTATTATTTGCGACTTCTAAAATAGAGTCGCAAAAGCCTACACAGTTCCGACAGCATTGTGGCTCAAAACAACTTATTATCGACTCTCTTTTGTGTCGCAAAAGGACTAAAAATTATATTTTAAATATATAAAACCTAAAAATTTTGTAGTACCTACAATGCAATACAAATTTTTTAGATTTTTATATTTTTTTAATATATGTGCAAAAGATATTTTAAATAGCAAAATTAAAGATCATAAACTATTTACAAATGAAGTTCAAGTATGGTTAAAGAAGATCTAAACCATAATTCAGTATTTATACAACTCATAAGTCAAGCACTAGTCCTCAACAAAAAAGCTTAGGGAAAACATGTTTAACAAAAATACAAATCCAAGCCACAAATATTGTTTCCATATGTTTCATATCAGTCAAAAAAATACAAAGAAACATCAATCATAATTGTTTCCTACAAGGAGCTTGGTGATGGAACATTGTTTTGAGAGAGCAACTCTTTTATGATCATGCTTAACTTAACTTCTAATCTTTACTCCATATTGGTCTACATATTCTTGATTACTTCAATAGCATCAACATATTTCATTTCTCCGAAGGCTTCTTTCGTTGGTGGGGGTTTCACTTTATACCCCCACGCCACAAATATATTTGGGCCTCTTTCCAATGACTTTGACGAGGCTTATTTCTCTTTTTTAAGTTTATCTCCATCTATAAGATATAAAGCCTGCCTGTACTGTTGTAACCCACTCCCCCTGTATAGGAAACAAATAAGAGCGAGACCATAACTCTGCAGTTCTTAAATCTTAATCTAATCACCATTTCTTATATGATGAGGACAAGAGAACTGTGAACTCCATAATTAATTGTAAATCCTGTGAAGTAACCCATGCAATAAAAAGAACTATTTTCAGCCGCTTTTTGGCAACACAGTCCATCCTATTTTCAGCCGCTTTTTGGCAACACAGTCCATGAGATGATGATGTTAACTCTTAACACCAAATCTGTACTTCAACTATTCATCATCAGACTCCAAACTAGATCCAACAAAGACATAGTAGATATATGTATACATTTTAAATTTTAAATCTAGGCATTATTATTATATAAAAATTATGCAAAAGTCATGAAAATACTTGCAATCTATCAATTAGGTGATAGGAGTTGGTTTGAATGAATAATAAATCTGCCATTTAGAGACACTTTGGGCCTCAATCATATATTGCTCATACGTACATGGAATAGAAATAAACAGACATAAGGCCAGACACCAGTTCAATTGATGAACATCAAGCACATTTACCTTCGGATTGGTGAGATAAGTCTTAAAAGGTTCCCAGAGATTGGAAGTATGTGTGTTGCATCTCACATCCTTTAATTGAGATGTGTGTTGCGTATCTCATTTAAGATTTCAAACAGTTTAATCGTCAGTGTCAACTTTTCAAGATATGACTAACAAAGATTTTCAGAATACCATTCACCGGGGATAAAGAAATAAATAAAGGAAAAAATAAAATCAGCACACTAATTGCATATCCGTCTCTAGGGATAATATTTTTCCTCTAAGGTATAAAATTCTCAGATGATTAGCTATGAAGTGAATCCCATGCTCAGATCACACTACCTTGCCATAAATTTATATCAATTTATACCATAATTTCAAAAAATCATATGTTAAATATGGACAGATTTATATCCTTTACACATCAACAGAGCCACAAGTTTCATTAATAAGGGCTATTTTTGTAATACCTCGATATTTTAAAAAATTTATTAATTGAGATTAATTATTTTTATTTTATTTTTAAATAATTTGTTTGATTTAATTAGTATTAATTACTTTTATTTTATTTTTAAATGATTTATTTTATTTAATTGAGTGCTTAAATTAATTATCTTATTTTAAGTATATTTTATTTTGTGATTATATTTGTTGAATTGATATGATAATTGTTGTGTGTGTGTTTAATTATTGATTAAATTATTGGTGTGTTGATTTTATTGGATTTTATTTTATTTGTGTGGTTCATGTAATTAGTTATTTTAATTTAAATATTTATTTAAATTAATTGGATTTGGGCTCAAGAGAAGTTGGAGCAAATGATGTGGTCTTGGGGTTGAATGAACCTTATTGGGTTAATTAATAAAGGCCCATGGTTAGGTAATTATTTAAATGATCATTTTTTTATAATTATAAATATATATATATATATATATATATATATATATAATTAATTAATAAGTATTATGGAATGATATATATAGGTATACATTATTTAATTAATTAATGATTAATTATGGAAGGTATATGTATAATATAATATATATTTATATATATATATATATATATATTATTTAAAGATTATTATTATTATTTTTATATGGTAGTCATCATTGGAAAAAGAATTATGGTATTAATGTGGTTATATATACACATAGGATTAATTTATTAAAAATGTTTTTCACGTTAGAAAAAAAGAGAGGTAGAGAGAGAGAAGAAGAAGACGTGGACAGAGAGGAGAAGGCCGGATCAGAGAAACACAATGTCGGAATTGGAAAAAACAATCAAAACTTGAAGTTTTTTTCTAACTTTCTTATTAGAACTCATAAGGATTTTACCTTGAGTATCAATATTTAGATTAATTTTATTTGATTAAATCATAATTAAATCGGAGTATTAAGAACAATATTTATTATGATTTTTACTTTTGGAATTGTTGGATTTTAATTATATATATAGATTGTATATATTTAAAATTAATTGTTATACTTGATTCGTGACCCAATATGATTAATTAGGGTTTATAGAATTTATGAGATTTTTCTGAATTTTCTGAAATTATTCGGGATTTATTTTATAATTTTTTGGAATTATTTTCTATATTATTTGGCAAAAATTATATAGATATTATATATATACACACACACTGGGCGTCTGGATGTTAATAATAAGGTTGTAATCCGGTGTGGGACAGCACATGGAATGGTGGTACACATGCTGATCTGGGCCGTTAAATTATTTAATCTTAAGTGGATTGATCCTGTGCATTGCGGCACATGATAAGATGTTACACACACTGATCTAGGCCATGTGATTAATTTAATATAAGTAGAATGATTTGGTACATTACGGTGTATCGAAAAGGGTATACATGTGCATCTGGACCGTAGATATGGTCTAGTCAATTTAAAAATAATCTGGCGTGGGCGAGCTCACGGCAGCTGAAAGAGCTCATCCAATACCAGCACACACGGAGGCTTGGATCCAACGCGTGCAAGTGCATGCTAAGCGCGTGGGCGTGTGTGGGAAATCCCTGTTGGTTTGTTTCGACACTTGAAGTTGAAATAGTCATAACTTAGTCATTTTAAATCGAAATTGGATCATTCTTGATCTCAAATTTAAGAATTTTTCGTCATCTTTCCAATTGTATCAATTTTATTATCAGATTTTCATCCTACTAGGAGATATATATCTTTTAGTAAGACGGTGTCGAAAATTTATTTAAACCAAAATGGAATATTTATGGGAAACCATTTATGACAATATTTAGTAATATTTAATTTGCATAAATATAATTAAATTAATATATTGATGATGGAATGAGATATATATATATATATATATATGCATATACATATTTATTTATATATGTGTATATTTGGTTTAATTAATTGATGAGTTGTACAGATGGTCGTGTATATATATATATATATATATATATAATTATTGATATATATGTATATATGATTTTAAATAAACAAGAATTATTAAGGAATGTGTTATACACACACACATATATATATTATATAATATGCATATAATATATAAAATTATTGGTTATTAAATTAATTATATGCATATAATATGCATGTAATGCATAGGTACGAGTTGTTTTGTTGATAAGTTAATTTGCCTCTGTAAGAATTGTTTGATTGATAAATTAACTTTTAAGGTTTGGTACGTGGTTGAATTGTGGGCATGGATGAATTGTCAAAGGCGTAAATATATTACCTAAATATTTGTATGAATAAAATACATACATAAGAAGTATGGATGAGTTGTTAGTTTAAAAATATTAATAAAATTATTATTTATTAGTTTTCTTCAGCGAGTTATTTTTTATTTATTTAAATATGTGCTTATTTGAAATACTTTAATTGTTTTGATATTTTTTAATTTGCACGGATTTGATCAACCCGTGTTTTGAAATTAAAAAGTATCACAATTTTAAATGACATGTAAAA